CTTAAGACCAACCTGTTCACTATCCTGTCCTAAGTCTATGCCTTAGTCAGTGGTGTGCACAGATTTTTGAAGGGCAGGGGCAGAACAAAAAGGGCACATATAGCGCTACAGTGTCCTGACCACTGTAGAGGACACTTTAATATAAATTTTGGCTCCCAAAGGGCACTTTAGGATGCATTTTTCAAAGGAGAGGTGATATTTCTTCAGTTTTTTTGAAGTAATATCTGGTGTTTAATTACTTTTTAAATGGATCTATACTGCTCTGTATCTCTGGGCCTTTAGAGCCCTACCTTCCACCTTGTTCGCTTGGTTCTGTAGCCAATCCTTAATTCCGAACAGGTCTGCCAATTTGGCATCCTTCTTGACCATTTTTGAATCTCTTAAATTTTCTCAATAACATTTAAATATTTTTATTGCTGATTTTAGAAATGTATTTGTTTCTATGTGTAGTTTCTATAGTTTGCTTTAATTTGCACAGCACTTTGGCTGATATAGTTTTATATTTAAAACTATTTATTATAGTTTTTTAAGTGCTTGAGAAATAAAGTTTACCTGGAAGCAGGTATTTAACTTAATATTCAATATTCCCATGTCCTTTTTTATCTAAATGTTTGTTTTTTGTTCTGATATAACAATCTCGTTTTTCTAGGCTATAAGAAAAAAATAACAACAATTAACAGAAACAAATGTTGGAAAACAAGACTGTTTTCAATTAATCTATATAATGTGCTTCACTTATGATTTTAGTCTGCAATGTAATAACTAGTCAGTGTAGTAATATCCTTTTTCAAAAATACTGTATATGGCTAGGAATGGTGCAAAGACTTAAAACCTTTTGGGAACCAACTGTATCTTGTCAACAGCAAAACGTCCCTACATGGCAACATAAAACAGAAGAAAATGAATCACAAATAACCTTCAAATCGTGTTCTTCTATTTTCACATGTAATTGATCTCCTAGGAAACCATTTGTGTGTCTAATTTAAGAAACAACCCAAAAACTACTTTTCAATTAATCTCAAATTTAACATTTAAACATGAACTCCTACTGTGAGAGAACTGATAACTACGGATTATTGTAAAGAACACTTCCAGTAAAATAAATTAAGGAAAATGCAAATGAAGTTTGGGTTATCTAACACAAAACTGTCAAGAGAGAAGAAAAAAACAAAAAACAAAGAAATGATCAGACCAATTGTTAAAACTAATAAGCCTTTTAAATTGCCAATTAGATTCATTCACTCATGCAGTTTTATCTAATATCAAAATTGAGAATTTAAAGGGACAAGAACATATTCTCATGAAGTAATTTTTTTTTACTCTGCTAATATTTTTGTCTGTTTTGCACAGATTAAAACAAGTTATCACATTAAACAGACTATTTTAGTTTTCATTGGTATCATTTCCATTGTGTGTTGTTTTCTGGTGGTATTTGAGTTCTCATGTATTTCTTGTTTACCCCCCGTTGCCCTCTTGTGTCAGTCTCCTCTCGCTCCCTTCTAGATTCCTCTGTCAACACCTGCTCCCAATCAGTTGATTACCCCCGTCTTTGTTCTGTTTGGCATATATACTCCTCTTCAGTTACTGTTTGGTCATTATTCCTTGCTCCTCATGTGTGTTTTTCCTGATGTCTTTTTTTTGCTGTATTTTATTTTTGGAATATATTAAATCAGAACTCATCTCTGCCTCAATCCATCTCTGCATTTGGCTCCTCTTCAAACCTCTGCTCAACCAGAAAATTCTTTGCAGAGTTCTTAAAAATATGTATCCTCTTTAATCCACCCTCAAACTTCAGAATAACTATTTATTAAACAAAAATTAGCAAGAAAATTAGTAAACCCTTCTTTCTTGATTAATTGGTTGACTTTATTGATTATTGATCTCCCAGTGGAGAGATTTGCTCGTCACATCAGCTCAAATAGTCAAAGGAGAAGAAGGTGCCAAAGGAAGAAAAAGGTGGGCTTTCATAGGTTTCCATCTGTTGTGAGGCAGCTATGCTGCTAACTGAATGCCTCCATAAATTAATCATGAGAAACCTCAGATCTCCATTATCTCAGATCTTAAGCATACAGGATCCAGTTAAAATCATACCAAAATGGAAAGACGTCAAACACTTAGCAGGACATTTTCAAATTATTTGAAGCAAAGTGTTGTATTGAAACATTTAAGAAAGTTGCAGTGATATCAACAATGAGCTCAGATCATGTAAGACTCAGAGCAATAGTGAAGGATGAAGAGTTCCAGGCCAGATAAAGTTCAGGACATCTGAATAAGAAAAGGGGTGAATAGGTACCAATTGTTTGAAAGAGCCGCTAGAAGATATCGGCTATCAGAGAGCAACAGCATGCCTTAGGATTAAAGTTGCATTTAAAAACACCACCATACTTATGAAATCAGGACATTTAAACTGATACAAATAAAGTAAATATGTTTGGCTTTAATGAACAATGTAAAAAAACACAACATGAACAAGAGTTCAGAATCAGAATAAAGTAATTTTGATTCTGAATGATGGCGGGGGTCTCCTTTGTGCAGAAAAGTATGATGCCTTCCCAAAGATGTCATCGTCCCAACTGCCGAATTTCACGTAATGCTGAATAACAAATAATTCACGCTGACATAAACAGACTAATGGAGACACACAAAAAATATGTTCTGGAAAGGATCATGATCTGGAAACATCAAAGTGGAAGCACATATTTGTAGCAAAAATTGTTGTAATAAACATCATAAAAGTCAGTAATCAAGGGAAAAGAAGTTGCGGACAAGCTGGCAGGATAAACAGGCAGTCAAATGACAGGGTTTTACAGAAAATGGCTGATCAATAGATTCAAGAGCAGGATAATGAAGGAAACCAGCAGAGAACAATACAGTCCAGGGAGCTTCAATAAAGAGGCAAGCATGAAGAAATGGCAAGTAAACTGCATATTTAATCACATGAAACAAGGAACAGCTAATAGCTCAGAAGCTGAGAGGAGGAGGCTAATTACACGAGAGAGGCAGAACGCAACAATATAAATATTTATACAGTGTCTAGCATATAATGAACTATAAATCACAGAGGAGGTAAAACATAAACAAACAACCGGGAAACAACGTGAACACAAATACAAAATAAAACGCCTGGAGATCAGGGGTCCATTTCACAAAGCAGGTTTATATTAGAAACTCAGAGTTTTCCGTCTCAACCGATCTGTTTCAGTCACTGTAGTAACATTCTCCCCATGCTTACGTTGTTGGGAGCAGGTTTTTTTCAGTAAACTCTGAATGTCCGCTGTCTCCACTCTCCTTACAGCCAATCATGCTGTTTTATTTCCTGATTTAGTCAGGAGATTTTTGTTGTATTTTTGTGCATTAAAAAAAGAACTTAAAAAAAATTCCTTCACTTGGTCCTTTAGACACATTAGGCATTAAAGGAAAAGCCAAGGAATAATCAATGGATCGTTATCTATACCTAAAACTAATACCTTCACGGTGATCTAATAAATTTAGCGTAAAAAAATTAAAATTATTTTCGTCGCAATCCCCGAGTCCGGGACCGGCCATTTTTGCCCAAATATAGTAACACCTCAGTCCTGACATCTTCCGAAAGTGATGTCATGGTACAGTAAGAATTACCTTAGGGTTAGGATTAGGATTAATTCAGTGACAAAATCCCACTGAGCCTACTGGTACAATCTGAAGGAATTCAATGGGACTGATAACCTCTAATAATGACCATTTATAACATCCAAAGCAGCTGCAAACAGCCACTTAGTATTTTCTGTGTAATGGAAGACAGAATCAAACTGAGGAGGAACCCCATGAGAAAATACACAGGTCCCATCTCTTACAACAATGTTATTAGACTTCATCTTCACCTGCTGCCAGATGATTTCACCTAAATAGATACATTAATCATGTACCAAAATAGATACATAGAACATTGACAAAATGCATCAGTAGTTACTGTTTTTCATAATAAAACTAATTAAATTAGTATATCTAATAAAATATATTTTAGAATGATAGTAGAGAAAACACTATTATTGAAAAAAAATGCAAACTGTCATTATTGAAGCAAACTTATTTCTACTATGCTAATAACAATTGATCCTTTGTAAATTGTAGCATTCTGTGATGTTCAGGAACATTGAACTTTTAACAAGACTATCTTGGTTTAACATTTAAGATCCATACCTTTACTATTCTCATCACTGTGGATATAAAACTTTAATTTATTTTCAGAAACCTCTCCCGGTTTTAAGGCAGATTAATGTGTGATATGTCCCACTGATTGCTGGCTTAGAAAACATTTGATGTGAGTCACACAGAGCGATGGTCTTATGTGTGTGGCTCAGAGTATAGCACTGATTAGCCAAAGGTAAACACTTAATTTCTAGAAACACACTTTAAAATGCAGTATTCAACATTGCTAAGCCACCTGCTTTAGGCTGCAATTTAAATAAAACATATTTTATTTATAAGAATGATCAGGAGAGAGGAGAGTCACAGGTAAAGGGGGCCACTGATAGCACAACTGAATAGTGAAATGAGTGACAATGAGGAAAAGGATGTTAGAATAAGTGGTGAAGATAGAAAGATTTAATTAAGAGAGAATGAGGACATGTAGAGGAAAGTGATGAAGAAAAAGGAAGGTATAGAGTGAGTTCCAGTGCAGAGAAGTTAGATTTGAATCTCTTTTTGCAGCTTGCAAAAGTAGTTGCAGACCTGTAAAGGTTTTTGCTTTATGTTTTCTTGATTCCATTTACACACAAGAGATTTAGGTCCAGCATTTCCATCCTGCCTTGATGGACATGCTAGATTCACCACTGTTTTCAAGTAAGGATGCGTTTTTTTATACATGCTTCTCTATGTATCCTATGACTGACAGGTTAGACAGATTAAAATTTGTTGATTGCTGTAATGTGGCAGCATCTTGATTAGAGATATATTGTTCTTTGGTAATGACACAGTACTTTCTTGCATAATGTCTATGTGTGAAATGATTATTGTCTCACAGGGCAGTTGCGAAGGTCTCCCATGTTGCTGGCATTGCGCAGCAGCTCTCCAAACATGTCCGGCGTTGGTTTCTCTCTGCACTCCAGCATTCTCACTGCCTGGTTACTGCAGAATAATGGACACACAGAAATAGAATGAAGATCACAGACTTTCTTCAGAGGAAAGCCAAACACCAATCAGGAAGCCCTAGTAGAGATTATCCTATTATAGAACTACCTGTTTAAGCCATAAATTTACATTTGAGTACTGATTCTGGGATATTACCATAGGCATTTTATCATTTCCTTACACAGAAGTGATTATATTTCAAAAGGAAAGAAATTAATCTGTATAGTCAATGCATTTCCATCCATCCATCCATTTTCTGTCACACTTATCCCAAGCGGGGTCGCAAGGGGTGATGGTGCCCATCTCCAGTTGTGTATGGAGAGGCGGGGTACACCCTTGACAAGTTTCTTTAATTGCATTTCTTTTAGGTCAATAAGCAAAATATACTTGACATTTCTGCGGTTCATTCAGGTAATGAGAAAGGAAGACTTTCAGAGGAAAACAGGAAGGCTGAACATGGTAACATGTGTTGTCTTTGTCCTTCTGAGACAATCCGTTCATTCATCTCCTTTTGCCTGATTTGAAATGCCCAAAGCGACCAACCCATAAATAAATTAATTCCCTCTGTAAATATGAAACAACGATGCTGAAATAAACCTCTTAACTGCAACCACACCACAATAACAGCCAGGAAGACGCTTTTATCTCTGTTTACTTATGTCTGAGCTGCGCTGCAGCCACACATCCGCAACATTTCTCCATCTTTTTTTTGTTTTTCTTGGATTATCTTACTTATGTTGACTTTTTTGCTCTCTAGGCTGTAAGCAGCAGGCCTCGGCACGGTTAAAAATAGCCTGTTAGTGTGAGCGGGCACAAAACACAGGGAAAGCTGCTCTTTTGTGTTTGAACTACCTGTTTATTTGGATTTTTCCCTTCTGTAGGAAGGAAGGTAGGGCTTATTTAATCATATAACTAAAAGTAAAATGTTTGATGTTTTGTTTCATTTTTCAGTTAGATTATTCTGCTTCCTTGTTTTACTTATAGGTTTTTGCTATTCCCTTGGAGCAATTTATTGATTGCAACCAAGTTTCTTATTTCATTAACCTGGAGTAGAGGGTGGGGGGATTGTAATGTAAAACACATACTTCTCTGTGTGTGCAATTACCTGGACAATCCTTCATTGACATATGCACACACTCAACTTCTGCATCTTGCATAACCATATGCATGACAAATACACTGAGATGTTCATGCGCAATTTTGCTCACTGTCTGGCCAGGACCCATGCAGAGAAGCAAAGAACGAGCTGTACCTTCTTTTACTGCCGCGATTAAGCCCAAACCTGCTTCCAGATTTAGTGCAACGTGTTTATTCACAGCCAAGTGTGTGTGAATGTGAAGGTGCATGTTTGGACTTACCAGAGAGACGTGGTTGAGATGTAATGAACCATCTGAATGAAGGGCAGGGGGTCCGATGAGGCTCCACAGCTGCTGCACACACACTGTAAGAAGGAAGACATCCTGGGATTCATCACAGGACATCATTTTCTCTGATAATTATTTTCTCATTAGGAGCCTTCAAATGTTATCACATAATAATTTAGCTTAATTTTTTTCACAAATTATGTTCTGGATCTAAACAGAGGTCAGAACTTGCTAAGTGGATTGTTTTTGTTTAATCTGAACAAGAATCAAGTCCAGATAGCAAAAAAGCCATTTCATCGTTACAAAGACTCTTTGCTGAGGCAGAGCTGGTGTAAAAATTGGACTATATGTGAAATGGGAATCAGATAGCACGGTTACCCACTAAATATTCTCAAAAACCTTAGTTGGACTGAAATTTTAAACAATTTCCGACACTTTTTAGGGGATAAAAAAAAAAA